GGAATAGAATGGAATGGAATAGAGCAGAGCAGAGCAGAGCAGAGCAGAGCAGAGCAGAGCAGAGCAGAGCAGAGCAGAGCAGAGCAGAATACTGTGGAATGGAATGGAATAGAGAAGAGAAGAGCAGAATACTGTGGAATGGAATAGAGCAGAGCAGAGCAGAATACCGTGGAATAGAATGGAATGGAATAGAGCAGAGCAGAGCAGAGCAGAGCAGAGCAGAGCAGAGCAGAGCAGAGCAGAGCAGAGCAGAGCAGAATACTGTGGAATGGAATGGAATAGAATAGAATAGAATGGAATTCTTTATTGGCCAAGTGTCACCCATCTAGCCCTTTCCTGAATAACCTTATGTGTACAACGTTAGAAAAGGCAAAGCAGTATAGATTAAGCATTGAGAATGAGAGAATAAAGTAGGTTAAAGCTAGGTTGGCATTTGAACTAGGGGCTTATGAGCTCATAGTACACCTTTTTAACTGCTACCCTACAGCTGTCAACTGTGTCAGAGAAGAACTGCTCCTATTATGCAGGTTTTCACTGGTGGTTATGTCTGGAGCAGTTTTTAAAAAAATTCCTGATGGCCCAGATATTTTTTTGATCATAAATGAAAACTGGAAATTCTAGCTTGCTTAAATCCACAGTGTACCTACTAAAGTGATGCAAAAAAGGAAGAAAGGTTTTGTTCTACACATGTTTAGATGCACTCTTCTTTATTGCTTCACTTCAGCTGAAATCGATTCCTAGAGTAGAGATGCATGGGAGATGCATGGGGCTGGAAAAGGGAGGTGGACTCAGATTCAAATCACTGCTTGGATCTTGGATCAAGCTTTTCCCTTCTGCAGGCTGCCAATAGTAAGATTCAATGGGGAGATTCAAGAACAGTAAACCATTTTTGCAGAAACATCTGCAGATGAAATCAGTAGCAATAATTGAACTTGAGAATTATTTCCCATCCCAGCTTACTAATTAGCCTATTAATGACTCCTGAATCTCATCATTCAAAAATACCAATGGAGATTTAAAATGATGGCACATTCATGTGAATCAATATATGCTTTGAATTTAGCTCATCCCTCCTACTAGCTAGTTGCCAAGTCCCCTTTTTAAGCAGGGCCAGCTCTAATGACAGAGGAATGCTGGTGTTTAGACTGAAATGTGCAGCTGCTGAATTCTGTGGCATAGGAGAGATAGACAAAACTCTGGAGAACTGAAGAAGTTGGTGAAACACAGTGGTAGACCAACAGAAGAAGTGATTACCTAGGACTGCTAGGCAAAAGAGGAACAGTCAAGAGCAGGACTGTCAAACTCGCAGCCCCCGGGCCGGATGTGTCATGCGCTGGCCATGCCCATGCCCAGTTTAGTTAAGGGGAAAAAAGTCCCAATACATCATAGGATGCCACTGTGACGACGTGACTTTGACACCCCTGGTCAAGAGGGTAAGGTACTGACAAATGCTCTGTGTACTGAACATACACTACAAACCCAAAATATCGTAGTCTACAGCTATGTTGCATATAGAGCCGTGATGACGAACATATTGCGTGCTTGCCACAGGTGGCATGCAGAATTCTCTCTACAGGCACGTCAGCCATCTCCCTAGCCCAGCTCCACCACACATGCGTGCACCAGTGGTGGGTTCTGGATCCCGTTGCAACTGGTACGGTGCAATGGGGCCGGGCGTCCAACACACGAACGCGCGCAGCACGCAGGCAACACATGCATTTGTACTTACTGCCCGCAATGCTCCATGATGGCTCCGCAACGCTCCAGCTGCTCGGCGGAGCATCACGCAGGCGCCGTACGCTCCCTGCGCATGTACGTTAAGCTCGATCAGCTCAAATACAGGTAAGGAGGGCAGGCGGGGGGATTGGCCCTCCAGAACACCGTACCGGAATGGTACTTGTGATCTCAGCAGGCACTGGTACGCCGGTACCGGGGTGTACCGATCATATCCCTCCACTAGTGTGCACACCTCCTGCCAGCCAGCTGGTCTTCAGTTTCTGCCATGCATGCACAGGGTGGGGGGGGTGCATGCGAGGGATGTGCGTGCGGATGCATAGGGGGTGGGGTGCATGCAGGGGGTGCTTGCAATTTGGGGCCTTACGCAGTGCCCCTGCACCAACTTGAAAGCCAAAATGGGGTGATGGGTGTGTGTGCATGCACGGGGGAATGTGTGTGCATGTGCAGTGGTGGGATGCACACAGAGGGAGTCGTGCATGCATACAGGGGGATGGGGCTGGAGGGGTTGTGTGGACATTGCTTTATGTGTGCTTTTGGCACACAACAACAAAAAGGTTAGCCATCACTGATATAGAGCACACAGGCTGGATTAGGAAGAGGATGAATATTGTGGCTGGGCAGAATTGGTCTGGAGGGCAAATATTGGAGGCAAGGAATCCTCGGTTCAAATTTCTCTTCTACTGGCAGCATAGAAGGACCTTAACTAAACCATTACTTTTACTCCTGCCCTCTGCAAACATTGCTAGCATTGTTATCATCACCACCATGGATTTCCATAAGCTGTAAGAATTCTAAATATAAAAAAATGCTTTCAAGAAGAAGGGACATACTTTTATTTTTTATTACACCACTATCTTGATGTGGCAATCCAAAAGGGTGTCCAGGGAAGGTGGATTCATCATGTTGGCTGATGTGCATGGCCAGGTTGAGCCAGGGTATGGGCCATTAACCATTATTTGAAGATGGAAACGCAGAATGCCAGGCTCCACCTATCCACAGTCCACCCAAAGGGAGCTTCCTCCTCCTATTCCTATTTTGGATCAAAAGCAATGCCTTTTAACTTGTGCCAACCGATGTGGGCTGTCCAGTTCACTAGCTGTGCCTTCTTTTGATCTAGGTCAATGCCGCCACTCCAACTGGTGACTATTCACCAGTACAAGAAAACCTCACGCCTTCACTGTCGTCCCAACAGTTCCTTATTGTTTCACACTGCCCCCTCCTTTTAACAATTTCATTGATGGAACAGTGAAAACATGGATCTATCTTTCTTTTGGGGGTGGGGGACCAACTGAAACTGGCAACAGTTCTGCCAAATTCCTCTTTTAGCTCAAGTGACAGGAAGAATGAAAAAACTGGTCTTATTCTCCCTTCTCGCTGGTAGACGCACCAGATGGAAAGGTGTTAAGTACAAGGGGAAATCAATGGAGGGTGACTCATATGAAAGGTTTATTATGTCTTCTAAAGACAACTCTCCCCCTCGTGGAAATGAAGGCAGTTGGTGCTTGCTTCCCAGCACAGCTGGAAGGAGTAAAAAATGTAGAGGAATCCATCAGTAAGCATGGTCCAGACCAGAAGTGGTATTCAGCAGTTCTGGAGAACCGGTAGTGGAACTTTTGAATAGTTCGGAGAACCGGTAAATACCACCTCTGACTGGCCCCACCCCCATCTATTCTTTCTCTCCCGAGTCCCAGATGATCGGGAGGGAATGGGGATTTTGCAGTAACCTTCCCCTGGAGTGGGAAGGGAATGGACATTTTATAAAATCCTTCCCCTAACACGCCCACCAAGCCATGCCCACCAAGCCATGTCATGCCCACCAAGCCATGCCCACAGAACCGGTAGTAAAAAAAATTGAATCCCACCATCGGTCCACACAGAATACATCAGCCATCACCTGGGTCAAAGCAGAGGAAAGGCAGAAAGTTTTTTTAAAAGCCAGCTTCATTTCCAGCCAGTTTATCCATAGGAGCCAAATGCATTAAGGTTGCAGTGTGGGAAAGTCATTGAAATAGAAAGTACCATGAAAAATGTCAAATACAGAAACTCACATTTACGGGTAATGATGCAATTTGAAGCAAGTTGTGTATCTTAAAAACATGATTCTGCATACTTACCAGGTTAATTATCAATGGAACATTAACAATGGAGATTGGAAGACTTGGGGTTGTTGCAACTCTCTTAGTCTAGAATTTCTCTCTTTTATATGCTCATTGGCCTCCTCCATCAGCACTCCTTGAAAATGTAGAAATCTGGAAACTCAAGTTTCAAATAACCTTAAGTCACTTCCAATGGCAAGGTGAGTTGGGATAAAAAGATGTTACAAATGGAGTGATAGGAAAGAGAGGAAATTCTGGTCAGAATTGTAGTATAGCAATCCAGCTGGGTGCTGTGCTGGCTATCAGTTGGTGCTCCATAATTGGTTTTTTTTTTAAAGACGTGAAAAAACTCCACCTGAACATAATTCTCAATTGTAGAACATCTGTGCACACAGAAAGTGGCAGATTTAGTCCCTAGTTCTTAGAATGAAGTTGGTTGATCAATAAATGATTTAATAAATGGTTTTTAACTTCACTGTCCCTTCTTAAAAGAAGCATGGCTAAAGGGCTGAACTAAAACAGTTTCAAAGGAAAAAGGACCAACTCCCTGAGCTGCATTAAAAATGGGGCCAATGTTGCATTTAATGCTTGATAGCTGTATACTGTATGCTGTGCCAAGATAGTCAGCACAGATTACAATTTTTGGATGGACTTTCTGCTCGAGTCTCACTGTCTTTTTCTCTGTCTTTTGCAGCCTCTTGGAGAAGCAACTCATGGCTGACTTTTCACCTTGCCGCCATTGTCCCAGTTTCCATGTGCTTCAGGATTCAACCAACTGGCATGATGCCCAATTTCCAGCTGTCTGGGGCCCTCTGAAGCAGGAAGGCCACTGGTTTTCAAGGAAGGGATGGGGGAAGAGGGCAGCTTCCTCCCCAAAGGCCCTATGGCACCATAGCCCTTCTTATGATGGGTACAATCCAGTTTGCCAAAGGGACATGAGCTGGGGAGCCAACCAGTCAACCAAGGGTGATCCTAAAGCCCCAGGACCTGCAGGTTCTTTGGTCAGCTGCAGATGGAATCAAGAAGCCTCTGCCAAGAAGAGGAGAGAGCTTCCTGCCAGGGCACCCCCAAGCTATGAAGCTCACATGCTTCTGCGCCTGCGGGCACAACAGGGTCCACGCAAAGAAAACTGGCCTCATCCTCCACCCTACCTTGCTCCTCCCTCTTATGAGGCTTCCCACCATAGAGTGCAGCCCCAGCAACGGGTAGGCAAGTCAGATTCAACAGGGAAGCTCATCCAAAGTGGAGCTGCTAAGAAACACCGAGAGAGAGAAGCGGGCTGTGAGTCAGAGCCCTTGACTCACACACCTGGGAGGAAGGCAGGCAGGTGGCACACTAAAATGCCAGGCAGTTGGAGTTACCTTTCAAGAGCCAGAACGTGGGGTGGCCCAAGAATGCAGTTGGAGAAGGCCAGCTCCCCATCCCATTTGGGCTCTGACTGGGGCATGAGTCCCCAACACCGAAGTCATACCCTTCCTCTGGTGAATAAGAGGAGCCAGGTCATGACACTGCCCTGCCATCCTTCCCAACACACCCTTCCTGCTGGATGGGGCTTTAGCCATGCAGCCGGTTGGTGTGGATCCAAGAGGGATGGGAGCAGAGCAAAAGAGAAACGCTGCCAAGACTTCTACCCTAGGTGGAAGGAACCAAGCCCTTCCAGGAAACTTGCAGGGAGTCAGCCAGCTTTGTCCAAGTCCATGCCCCGAAGGCACAGGGGTCTATTTGTAATTGACGCCACTTGTGTGGTGATCCAGGCTCACTACATTCCATCACCCCGAATGGAGCAAGTCTGCTACCTGGCCCAGGGAGAGGCAGGTACCACAAACCCCCCCACATCTCCTGGCTCTCCAGGCCCTACCTCAATGGAGGAACGGGCTGCTCACATACTAGGCCTCCCCTTGCATGAGTTGGGGGTCACAGAGGCAGAGCAGGGAATTATGGCACCCAGGATCTCCGGAGTAGAGAATGGTGCTATGCCTGGGGACAGTTCTGGGAGAAAGAAGGTGAAGAGGGTGACTTCTGCTCCAGGCAGTCCTAGGAAGCTTTCTGGACCCCCAACCCCAAACCATTCCCAGGTTGGGCCTGCAAAGCAGGAGCCAACCTACCTGGAAGAGAAAAGGTCTCCGGCATCCCCTTGCCCAAGAAGCCATGGCCTGCCAAAAAGGAAAGAAGAGCCAGGGATTTCTGCCCAAAGGCAGTCCTATATTTGCGACCTGAAGGAAGCCATGTCAAGGATCCGCCGACACACAGCCCCAGACTCAGACACAGATGAGGAGCTGGAGAAGGAGTGGCAGCCCACCTGTGAGCGATCGTCGTGGGGAGGAAGGTTGAACCAAGAGGTGCTCATGTGCAGAAGCACCAGCAGCAGCAGTCTAGACAGCAGCAGCTCCAATGCCACAGTAGTGCCAGGAAATGCCACTCCTGGCTGGAGACCCAGGCCACAGACTCAAAGGGCAACTACAAGCAGGGAGGGGTCAGGCCCAGCCAAGGAATGAAGACTGGCGAGAAGTGAAATTCCAACACAGATCAGCGATGATAAACGTTTTGAACTCTGCATGTCAAAAATTCAGCAAATGCCTAAATGGTATGTCACCCCCACCCAACAATTCTCTATTTCCTCCCCACCCATCTAGGACATTCTGAAGAGTGGCAGTGGTGGGATTCAGCCAGTTCGCAACTATTCGGGAGAACCGGTTGTAAACTTTCTAAGCAATTCGGAGAGCTGGTTGTTGGAAGAAATCTTTTGTTTTTTTCCCCACTTTACAGGGCTAATCCTGTAAGGAAGGCAGGAAGGAAACATTCTGGTGTTGNGTGAGATTTGAACCGCTGACCTGCTGATCTAGCAGTAGCCTGCAGTGCTGCATTTAACCACTGCGCCACCTTGGCTCTGTCTAGCGTGGACCTCACCTTTTTCCTAAGAGGTCTGTAAGAGGGCGGCGTGCATAAGCGCACCAGCGTCCCTGTTCTATTGTCTCCTTTTATTCATACCCATTTCCTGTGTTCATGTCCATGTTTATACTTATACCTGTTAGCTCGTACATGTTTGACAAATAAATAAATATCCTGCTCCTTCACCTCACCTCACCCAACCTTCCTCCTCCTCCTCCTCCTCTCAGCTGGTTCCCACCCTCCATATTCCCCCCTCCCTTGCCCCATGCCATTTGCCCCTCCCCTGCTCTCCTCATCTTACCTTGTGTCCCTCCCTCTTTGGTGCCTCCCTCCCTCCCCCCACCGACGATGAGCATATCTGGACTCAGAGTGTGGATAAGTTTGGTAGGATCCAAATTCCTCTCCAGCTCATTCTTCTCTGAGCTGATGGGAAGGCCACCAGAAATCACCTAGTCAAGCTGGCTGCGAAGGCTAGGCCTTTGCAGCCCTGCAAGGCTGCCCTTGCCTGAAAAAGCTGTTTTTGGACTTCTCTCCTACATGATTAGGAACGCCTTCAGGCAGTGAGGAGAAAGGATGCGCATGTCATCTTTTTTCTTACTGTGTCATGGTGAAATATATAGTGGACTCCAGTTTTAGATTTTGAAGCTCCTTTTCAAGATACTGTCCACGAGAGCTTTCTGAGTGGATGCCCACATCTTCCTATTGATTCTATTAATATTTTCTTTGAAGCCAAATGCCCCCAATTACCAGAAAGATCAAGAGAGGGAAAAGTAGAGGGAAAAATAGAGGTAACCATTGCTCCTCTTTCCATTGCTTTCTAAATAGGGCAGTCAAGGAGATAGGAAGAACATAAGACTGAATTACAAATGCCAGGGACTGGGATCGTGTTTTTTTTTTAATGGCTATATGAATCTTTTCATATATGATATATTTCAGTTCGGGATTCTGAGATGGATAAAGATGTATGCTTTAAGTCTGCAGACAAATATTATGATGCACACTCAACCTATCTTTATCAGCATGAGATCTCTCATAAGTTTGAAGCTTGGGAAGTGCTACTGTATAAAGAACAGTATGAAAGGGGCAACAGGTTCTTGGTCTTGTGGATAGCAATGTGGCAAGGCCCCGTGACCTTCTAGATTTGCCCCATGTGACTCTAACTGAAGGATTATTTTCTGCAACGGCATTCAAAGACCACCCATCTTAATTGCTTGTCAAAGGCGACTGGATACAGAATAAAGCAAAACCAATGATGATGATAGTCAATAAAAACACACAGACCAAACCAGGGGTAAAATCCACTTACCTTTCCTACTGGTTTGGACCTCCAACACATGCGCAAAGCATCAAAAAGGGATGTGATGAGCCTGCTACTGAGCACCTGCAAAGGTAACCGAACATTCTGGGGGGAGGGAATCCTCTGTGCCAGGCAATTTAGATTAGCTAGAAGGCAGGAAATTCTGCTTTTTGCTAATATAAATCATGCGAAAAACCGGTTTGCCCAAACCAGTTTCATATTTTTTTTTACTACTGGTTCGGGTGAACCAGTAGCATTTCACCCCTGGACCAAACTCAAAACAAGGTTAAAAATCTGTATTTTCAATGTTTGAAACACAACTGCTCTTTCAGCACATATAAAACTTACTCAAACGCTTTGTCCATTTATCTGTCATTTAACACAGAATTAAAGAAAAGCAGGAACCACTTGAGAGACTATATAATTCAAAGAGTTCCCAGAAGGCTTGTAAATGAATCACAGGAAGGAAGCAGGACCAGGATGGGTGCTGGCCTGAGTATGGAGCCCTTTGTGCAATCCTTCTGTGCCCCTTCAACGCCTGAAGGAAAGAGAGCTTTCCTCTATGTGCATGTCCTTGTATTATTCTATGTTGGGTAGCTGTTGCTGTGTAACTGCTTTTGCAGCAGCTTGTGATAGCAGAGGTGCTATCTTGGTATGGAACAGCGCGTAGCCATGTGAGAATTTCTCACTGGATGTAGTTTGTTTCCTAACCTGCCTTTGAGTTATGCACATTTGTACTGTATATCCACCTCTCTCCTCTCTTCACCTGTAATTCTTTGTCCCCGAGCATCCTGCTTTCTCCGTGACCTTAGATGGTGCTACTGGCAGATCTCCCTCCCTCCCTCCCTCCCTCTTTCTTCCTCTCCATGCGTGTGCACTGGGAACTTGACTACCATGTGCTGTGTGGGTGTGATGCACTCTCAGCCTTCCTCGTGTGATACGGCTGCCGGCTCGTGCGGTTGCTACATGTCCCAGCAACTAAGATGATGTTTGAGTGTTTGAATCAGGGAGATGCCAGGCGGCTTCAAGTCTGCGAGAGGCAAAATCTGCTCCTGGTTGAATTTAACACAGTCTCTTGTTCTAGTTGGAATATCCTGGAGCCAGGGGCGTGGACTAGGCAAGGCTACTGGGTCCCCTCGATGTACCACAGTATGGCTGGCCAATACACGTGAGTGCTAAAATCTTGGGGAGGGAATTGACTGAACAGCAGGGGGCTCTGCTAACTTGCCAAGAAGGCAGAGAGGTTGGGCTGATTTGACCAGAGGATTTGCTGAAATGGAAGTAAGGAATGATACTATGAGTCCAACAATGAGATGCGAATAGAATAGAATAGAGCAGAGCAGAATACTGTGGAATGCAATGCAATGGAATAGAATAGAATAAAGCAGAGCGGAGCAGAATACCGTGGAATAGAATGGAATGGAATAGAATAGAATAGAGCAGAGCAGAGCAGAGCAGAGCAGAGCAGAGCAGAATACTCTGGAATAGTATGGAATGGAATAGAATAGAGAAGAGAAGAGCAGAGTAGAGCAGAGTAGAATAGTGTGGAATAGAATGGAATGGAATNTATATATATATATATAAGTACTGTATTCCAGCATATAAAGCAGGGCATCTATTCACCCAGATGACATCTCACCTATTGTGATTCTTCCTTGGAGAAATACTTTCTCCCTTCCCCAAAAATCGACAATATTGGCTGCCTGGCAGTAATGGTATCCTCTTATCTTCACTACCGGTTTGGTAGTGGGGGTGCGCACATCTGAACAAGTGCAGAACCTTCTGCGCATGCACAAAAGGTCCATGATGATGGCTGGGTGGGTGGGTGGAGCCTCACGCCGCCCCCACTACCGGTTTGCCTGAACTGGTGCGAACCAGCAGAATACCACCTCTGGTGCCTGGGAAAGAAAATTCCTGATGCTGGGGTCATGGATGTGGGTAGCTGTGAGGACAAACCTTTGTTGAACCTGGGCACAAAAATGGCTGGATGCCAGGACAAGATTCAGGGGGGATTTTCATACTTAAAAATGGTGTTGGTTTATGTTTTTTTTTTAAATCGACCCTATCTGGTCCCCATGAAAGATAATTCCTGATGCTGGGGCTAGGCACGTGGAGGTTATCAGAAGGTCAATTCTCCCCCGCAACCCAAACAGAAAAAAAGGATGCCAAAATGAGATTTGAGGTAGAATTTCAGGCTTAAAAAGGTGCTGATTGCTATTTTTTTAAAATAGCCAATGCCTGGGGTAGGAAATTCCTGATTCCAGGGTCTGGGACTCAAATGGGTAGGAAGCCAATTCCCCCCCCCCCAACCTGAATGCAGAAATAGACATCAGAATGACATATGAGGTGAAATTTCATGCTTAAAAATGGTGCTGTTCCTGTTTTTTTAAGTAGCAATAGCACTTAGACTTATATACCACTTCGTAGTGCTTTAAAGCCTTCTCTAAGTGGTTTACAGAGTCAGCCTATTGCCCCCAACAATCTGGGTCCTCATTTTACTGATCTTGGAAGGCTGAGTCAACCTTGAGCCGTTCAAAATCAAACTGCCGGCAGTTGGCAGAATTAGCCCAACACTCACTCGCTTGCTTGACGCTCACCCGCCCATCCGAGCATCTATGCCTTTGCCACGTGGCCCAGCCCCCAGCTACGCACTTTGCTAGTCGCCTCTGCACCTCTCCTGCTCTGCTCAGCTCATCAAAGGTAAGTAAGCATTGCTCGCCCTGGGTCGGGGGCCGGGATCCCAGGGATGCACCATTCCCTGAGGCCCTGGAGCCACCGCCCTCTCACCACCCCACCCTCCCTCCCTACGGCCCTGGCCCTAGCCTTGTTTCCTCTCCCCCCCACCGCCTCTTTCAGCAGCTTACCTTCCGTGGTGGATGGTCCAGAGGACAAGCTGAAATTACTTATGTTTGCTTTTTAAAAAACCAACCATGCCTTGATACCTGGAGAGGAAAATGCTCTGAAACCCATTGGTGATGTCCATTTTGCTCTGAGAGTGAATTTGCCACCCGAGTGGGATTGTCTCATGTATTTTACCAAGAAAAATAGAAAAGATAGTCTCAAAAACATAAGCTTACCCATGCACTCCGAATCCTGTTGGATATGTCCATTTTGCTCTCCAAATTCATGGAGACCTAATCCTAATTCCAGACAGATCCCCCCCCCACTATGGCATTTTCCCATGTATTTTATCAGGAAACGTAGACAATGAAGGTTTGAAAAGTCAGTGCCCTCATAAGCATAACCACGTGCTCTGAATCTATTGGCGATGCCCATTTTCCTCCCCAACTTCATAGAACACTAACTTGGTTCGTAAGTGGAGTTGCTCCCCAATGGGAATTTCCCATGTATTTCCCCATGGAACATAGATAAGGTAGGCTCGAAAAATCAGTGCCCTGCTAAGTGTAATCATAAACTCTGTATCTATTGGTGATGTCCATTTTGCTGTCTGAATTGTTCTGACTGAGGCTTCCCAAGAACATGAAACAAACTCCTTGTCCCGACAAAAAAAACCTTTTATTA